TGACCGATATGTGGCTATTATTCACCCACTGCATTATACCACCAGAATCACTGTGACAAAAGTCAAATTGTGTATTTATCTGTGTTGGTTCTGTTCTGTTTTCTACACTAGTTTTATTTTTAAAGATGTCCTGATTCAACCAGGCATACAAAATTCTTGCTATGGAGAATGTAAACAAGGTGTCAGCTACATTGCAGGAGTTGTTGACCTTGTTTTAACCTTTATTGCTCCAGTTATGTTCATTATAGTTGTATATATGAGAGTGTTTGTGGTGGCTGTGTCTCAGGCTCATGCCATGCGCTCTCACACTGCAGCTGTCACACATCAGCATTCAGTGACAGTCAGTAGAATGAAATCTGAGTTGAAAGCAGCCAGGACTCTGGGTGTTCTAATACTCGTGTTTCTAATATGTTATTGCCCGTACTACTGTGTCACTCTGACACGGAACAACCCTTCTGCTCGCAATTTTATGATCGTCATGTTCTTTTTGAACTCCTGTCTAAACCCTGTGATCTATGCTCTGTTCTATCCCTGGTTCAGAAAGGCTAGTAAACACATCATCACTCTGCAGATACTGCAGCCTGGCTCCTGTGGGTTCAGCATGTCGTCGTAAAACTGTGGAGTGACTGAAACTACATCTGATACACAATGACTTTTTTTTTTACTACTGAAACAACAACAATTCAGTGGTGATTAGATTTAATTACATCATCATGAACTGTTCTACCTTTAATTAGCATAGCAGTCATAATACAGTGCTTGTTCAGTGTAGGTCATTACCTTCCATGGCAACAGTCCACTACAATGTGTGCATCAACTTTGCAAACACCAGTAAATCTGTCTTTTGCATTCTCTATGATAATTTACTCTGTGAAATGAATGAACAGAACTGTGCCACTTCACTTCAGGTGAATAAGCTGAAAGTAAAGACCAATGTTTACATTCGTTACCAGTGACCTAAATTAAGTTACTGTGGTGTTTAGACTCTGATGTGAAGCAACATCATCGAGTGAAATCCCAGATGAAATCAGGGAAAGAACACAGAACCTGCGATTGGTCCAAAAACAAACAAACAAAAAACTTGATCCTGTAATTGACTAAAGAACAGTAAAGTTTTGGATCAGCTTGAGGCTGTTGGAGGCCTGAGGAACGATGTGAGCGTTTGGCTTGGGGGTTTTGGAGTCAGAGGCAGTGTAATGAGAGTCGGTGATCTATGAGAGAACAAAAGAGTATTTGATTGTCTTGAACATGACAACCCTTCATGTAAAATACATTCAATGTGTGTTAAAATGACATGTATGTTAAAATAAAAATGCAAATTTGAATACTGCGCTTCTTTTTCATCCTTTAGATTTCAGTCCTGGATTATTTGTTGACATGGTTGTTAACTGCATGTGGGGTTTTTTCCCTTATCATCCCATGAGTAACACGTATATTCACATATGACTGAAAACGTATGTTATTCACCAGAGTGGCGACTCGTCTGTGTGAGCCCTGTAAGTGTGGATGTCAACAACGTCAGAAATGAAACCAATATCTCAATTTCTTATTTCACATTTTGATAATTGTGGGTCATAATTTCTAAATCAGAAATTTTATTTGTTCTTTCAAAAAACTCAAGTACACCTAACAAGCAGCAATAAGCAAAGTTAAAAATATAACAATATAAAGCCTAAAATGAGGAAATTTAACAGAACAACATAAGTTTGGTAGTAAGATGAATGTAAGTCATGGTGAGTAGGCTTTTTTTGAACAGGTGGGTTTTGAGACGTGATTTGAAAATGGCCAGTCAATGTTTTGGATGTCAGATGGAATGGAGTTCCAGAGGCAGGGGGCAGAGTGGCTGAAGGCTCTAGACCACATGATGGTCATGAGGGACAGGAGGGATGCTGAGGCTAATGGAGGAAAATGATCTGAGGGTCTGGCTGGGTGTGTTGAAGTGGAGGAGCTCAGTCAGGTACAGAGGGGTGAGGTTATGGAGGGCCTTGAGAGTTAGGAGGATGGTTTTTAAAGACAATGCGGTGTGTGATTGGGAACCAGTGAAGTGGTTGGAGAAGAGGGGTGATGTGGTGGATAGATGGTGTTCTTGCTTATGTAGCATTCTGAACCATTTGGAGTTGATGGAGGGACTTGAGGGGAAGACCAAGAGAGAAGAGAGTTGTAACGATCCAGGTGACTAAAGATTGGACCAGGATGGCGGTTCTGACAAGGGGAGGGTGGGACGGAGGCGGTTGATGTTTTGAAGATGGAAGTATGCAGACCGAGTGACATTATTGATGTGGGCTTGGAATGACACAGTGCCGTTGAGGACAACACCCAGACTCTTGACCTGAGGGGAGGAGNACTCCTCCTGGTGTGGACGGCCCCAGTGGTGGCGTTTTCCACGATCCTCAGTGCCATGCCTCCCTACAGTCAGCGGTGACAGTATGTGTTTGTATGTAGCTGTAGACATGGAGGGCGGGAGGGACGAGTTTTCTTGTTCTTTTTCTTTGACAATGTTTTTAAATGCTGTAAAGCACTTTGCGTCGCTCTATTGTAAGAGAAGTGCTGTATAAATAAAGTTTGATTTGATATGTTTGTTTTGTTTGTTCCTTTAGGTCCTCGACTGTCTCTCGCTCTCTCTGGACCCTTTAATTCAGCATTTGGTTTAGCCCTTCTGTTATCTTTGGGGTCAATTTGACACCATTCAATGTTGAACGTCTTTAAATAAGTAACTGACATTATTTTTTCAGTTTTATTTAAAGGGCTATTTACCCATAAACTTAGGTAACAATTTAAATTCTGATCATTTTCTGGAGGTGTAAATTGCTGAGGTCAAACTGAACCCAAGGATAAAAGATGTCAGTAAATTTGATAGGAGGGGTAAAATAATGATCGCTTACAGATTTCCTCTGGTAGGGCTTGTGTATATTTTGTCTACTTTTATTTTTACATGAAAGTCAAAAGACCCACATTATTATACACCCTGTGAAATCTGACTGTCACATAATAAAAATAATAACAAAAAGGCTCACAGCAACACGTCTAAATATAAAAACACAATTTATATGGAAACAGCATTATAAATGTAAAAATCATTAAATAATCAAAAATGAATGTATACTATAGTGAAAATCTTTACATTTGTTGACATACTTTAGATGAAAAAAATCAGTTGTTTTAATATATAATATAGATTTATTATTATTATTATTATTATTATTATTATTATTAAAGTGAGGCTTCATTTTTCATGCATCTCCAAAAATAAAAAAAACATTTTTTTCATATACATTGTGTGAAATAAAGGCTTAAATGAGCAACATTTAAATTTAAAACTGATCTCAACATCAAGGAGTCAGTCTGGGATCACGAGTTACCTGATAAATAACATCATTACTGCCGTCCTTAATTTTCTATTTCACACAGAACTGTCCTGTTAGGTGTCAAAGCGCAGCACTAACAGCTTCAGTCTACTTTCAGTGTCTTCACCTTGAGGTGGGGGCAGAAAATTACACAGAATCTAACTGTAAAAAGCGACCAGCACCTCTGCTTACCTCCATTAACTACTGTTGAAGCCATAAAAGGTTCTGGGAAACACAACAAAATCCATATTACCATGCTTTATAGTGTACCAGCTTTAGTATGTCGCAGTGCGCAGCATGTCAAATGTGGCCGAAAACACCAGGACGTCCAACTACATCTGGTTGGATTTTGCAGAATGCAGTCTCGGCATGCTTTTCTGGCCATTCCATCACTTACATCCCTGTGTCCTGCATTAGTATGAACAACCTTGAGTCAATCAGAGTGCTTGGATGAAAGCTGGTCGTCTACTGCAGACAGCGACGGTCAAAGTTTAAGGCGCAATATGATGACGAAGCAGCATGTCCCTGTTGGATGCACACTGCGTGAAACACTGAGTTCTTTATAAGGGAAACTGTAGTGTGAACTCAAAGGAAAAAAGTTTGGGACACAACCACAGAAAAATCAGTCGAGGTTTGACCAAGAGAAAGAAAAACCACATCAGAACATCATTAAATAAAACCAGCGATTGTTTTCAAACCAACGCTTAATATCTACGGTGAGAGCAAGACAGGGTTCAGAAAAACAAACAAACTGAAAGGTGCATCTGAACTGAACTGGTAATCTGAATCCTAGACAAAGATTTAGTTGAACTCGTGATCACGTGATTTGTTAAGAGCCTGTCACTTCCACTCAAGGCCCAACCCACACCCGACCAGGCCGTGGGTAAACTCAATGGCCGTGGTTTTGTCAGCAGAAGTTAAACCCTCTTCTTTCAGGATGCTGGTCAGCTCGCACCAGGCTGTCTTCTGTTTACAACACAAGTGACAGCTTCAAGATGTGGTCTGAGTGTGTCACAATTTTGTTTAGTTCAGTTGAAGTAAAAGGTTGGTGAGCAAAATAAAAAATAAATAAATAAAAGTTTAAACAGCACATTCATTTATTTGCTGGTTTGTCGGCGTATTCTGTAGGATTCCTCTGAAAAGCTGATTATATGCATATAAGACTGTCTGCTGTATAAAATCGCCACATCGCCTCCATCAGTAACTGTTGTGTTTGCCGTGCTGCAGAACAGCTGCTCCAGTCGTTTCACCCACCGACACCCTAAACTTGGACCTAATAACATCCCCTGAGCAGTGGGAATTTCTGATTCAGTAAATTGCCCCCAAACCAGATGGAGTACTGTGTAATTGAAAAGCAGAAGGAAAGACAATGACGGCGTCTTAGGTTACATGTCATTAGGGTCCTGTAATTGCCGGCAACAGCCGTCTTTGTCTTTCCATCTGTTGTGGCAGGGCGGCTGGAAGCAGACAAAGTCACACAGACACAAACCTTTCAGCTCTGCATAGATGGAACCCCATGTTTGCGTAAAGCAGCAATGGATTTAATGTTTTCTGAGAGCTCAAAACTGCAGGTTGTTAAACCCCTAAAGTCATCTTCCTGAGGAACTTGGCCCAATAACCTTTGACCTGACAGATTATACAAGAACTAAAATGTGTTTGTGACATTACCATGAAATAGAATTTTATATTACAGTGCAAAAACTATGAAACTGGAAAAATAAAAAAATTTAAAATCCTTTTATACCATAGTTGTCAAGTTAAAGCAATAAAATGCACCACGGTCAGTAATAGCATCTGTAAGAGCAGTGATGGAAAGACGTACATCTTATCCTCAACATACTCTGACAACAAAAGGAAAAAAAAAAAAGGTTATTCGTAGAAATTTGACAAAAGAGAGGAAAAATGAAAGCAGAGTTGTTCAGAGTAATAAGTAGTAAGAGTCCTGGTATGGTTAAAGTGAAGCTGTCAGACTGAAGCATTCTTTGACTCCAACGTTGAGGAAATCTGAGCTGAAAGCAACCAGGCCTCTTGGTGTTCTTGTACTTGGGTTTGTAATTTAAAATAATTACATTTGTAATTCTAATTAATTAAATGAAATTAAACTCCTTTGTCCCCCGAGCCATCAAACTGTTCAACTCTGAGCTCGGGGGGAGGGGGAGGAGCAGCAAGAGGTGGGGAGCGAGGGGTGAGGAGTGAGGATATTGGGGTGAGACAGAGCATCATGCTCACCAGACTGTGTGCAATATTTAGGCACTTTGGCAATTTGTTACTGTATCCATTGTTGTTGTTGTTGTTATTATTATTACTATTGTTGTTGTTACTATTGTTGCTGAGGTTGTGTTGGTGTTGTTTTGGTTCCTTTCCACCGTTGCCAACCGCTTGCTCAGAGGGAGTCTAAACTCTATTTTGGATTGTTAGGTTCTCTGTTTAAATGTGTGAGGTCTATGCTTCACTATGTTAAGCACTGTGTGATGACATATGTTGTAAACTGCACTATACAAACAAAATTGAACTGAACTGAATTGCAGCCAAAGGTACATCTACTAAATACAGCATGAAGGCGGTGACTGCTCTCACTTTGACGTAAGCATGTTTTTGTAAATTCTTGATATGGAAACACTGTGTCATGCCCTCGACTTCTGCCCCACCTGTGCCACTAATAAGACCTCTCATCAGTTGTGTGCCGGCCTCCTGCAGCCACTGCCAGTCCCGTACCGTCCTTGGTCCCACATCGCTGTAGACTTCGTCACCGGATTGCCGCCATCCCTTGGGCATCCAGCCATCTTGACCATCGTTGACCAGTTCTCTAAGGCCGCCCACTTCGTGCCCCTGCCCAAACTGCCTTCTGCCTGGGAGACGGCAGAATTACTGGTGAACCACGTGTTCCGGAGTCACAGCATCCCGTCCGGCATCGTCTCTGACCGTGGTCCCCAATTCACTTCCGAGGTGTGGAAGGCTTTTTGTGCTGCTCTTGGAGCTACTGTGAGCTTAACCTCAGGCTTTCACCCTTAGTCTTAATGGGCAAACTGAACGTGCCAATCAATCTCTGGAGACGTTCCTTCGTTGCATGACTTTGGGGAACCTGTCTGCCTGGTGTAGCCTCCTTCCATGGGTGGAATACGCCCACAGCTCCCTGTCCAACGCCTCTTCAAGTCTGTCTCCATTCCAGTGCTCGTTGGGGTATCAACCGCCTCTTTTTCCATTACAGGAATGAGAGACCGCCATCCCTTCCCTACAGTCACAAGGTGTGAAAGGACCTGGAGGCGTGCTGGAGCGGCTCTGCTTAAATCCTCACTGAAAATGGAACAACAAGCAAACCGTCACCGCTCCCCTGCTCCTGTGTATGCTGTTGGTCAGAGAGTCTGGCTTCATGCCAAGGACCTTCCCTTAACGGTCAAAAAAGTTGGCTCCTCGGTTTGTGGGACCCTTCCCTACTGAATGCATTATCAACCCTAGTGCTGTTTGATTGAAGCTACCTGCCTCCATGAGAATCCATCCTTCCTACAAGGTTAAACCGGTAAAAAGAGAGTCCACCGGCCCCCCCTGTCCGACCCCCCTCCGCCACCCAGAATGGTGGGTAACGCACGTGTATATACTGTCCGACGGCTTTTGGACATGCGAAGGAGAGGACGTGGACGACAGTATCTGGTTGACTGGGAAGGCTATGGTCCCGGAGACTCATCCTGGACCCCACACTCATCTGGGAGTTCCATAGAAGGCAACCAGATCGACCTATTGGTGCACCTGGGGGGAGGAGGGGGTACTGTATTGCCCTCGACTTCTGGTACCAGTTAGTGGCAGCTGGATCCTTTTTACCTCCCTCTCTCCAGCTCTCGCTTTCTTTCTGGCTCTCTCTCGCTCTCTCTCAGGTGGGCCTCAGCACAGCTGGCGGCGGAGCATGCAGACAGGTGTACCTGGTTACTAATCAGCGGACTGATGCTTTGGGATTGGACTGTTCCAACAGCAACCTTTCAGTCAGCCAGGATTTCAGCAGCAGTCAGACCATGCTCAGACGCCAGACTGTTGTACCACACAGTCAGTTCTCACGCTCGTCTAGCCGCTTAGCTTGCTCAGCTGGTGACTAACTTCTGTTTACTTCTGTTCTCAGTTGGATCTTCTGCCAACCGCTGCCATCCCCGATGCCTCGCCACTCACCAGCCATCTCCCACCTCTCTTCTGACGATCTGTCGCTGGATTCCGCAGCTTGCCTATCTGCCCTCAGTCCGCCGTTCAGCTGCCCTCCAGCCCCCTCCGTCGCCAGCCGATGCTTCCCTCCGTGCTGAGCCAGCTAAGTCTTCCCTCGTCCGTAGTTGTTACGCTAATCGTAGCCACGTTAGTCTCTGTTCGCTGTAGAGCTGTTGTGTTCTCCTGTTTGCCTCGTCAGTGTATAATCCGTAGCTTCGATTTTACTCGTCTGTCAGTGAAGCTCTGTCAGTTAGTCTGCTGCCAGTATTTGCTTCCTTCAGCACTTTATTTCAGTCCGTGCTGACTTTGATTTGTTCGTTACGTGTCTTAGTTTATCCTTCTGTCTAGCATTTTCTGATTGCACTCGGTATTCGCCCGCTAGCTCTGTAGCCACTCTCAGCATCTTAGTCTGAGCTCTTTCTCTTAGTGTTTTTGTTACTTGCCTGTCAGTCAACATTTAGCTTGAGCGCTTTGTGTTTACATTTGTTTATCAGTTTCCTTCCGAGCCAGCCAATACCTGGTTCTGGTTGTGCATTTGTTTACTGTGTTTGTTAGGCCCTGTCCGCAACACACTGCTAATTATTCTAATAAAAATAATGTGCGAAGGAAAGAAAGCAAGGACAGAGACGTGGAGCCACGAAGGGAAACTGGGGGGGTTGGACGGAAAGGGACGAAAATGATTCGCCGCTTCGCTGCCCAACGTAAACCTATAGAGACGAGGAAAGAAAGGACGAGCTGGAAAATGATAAATGAGAGCTGAGAGCCTTGGACAGGGAGGTGTCAGCTGCAGCTCCTGGCCTCCTCTTTTCCAAGATGGAGAGTGTCGACCAACTCTGCTTTCCAAAACTCAACGCCTCCTGCAGAAAGCCGACCCTCCACTGGACGAACGCTGTGCTCATGAACATTGTGCTCTCATCCGTCTCTCTGATCACCGCAGTTCTAAACCTGCTCGTCATCATCTCCGTCTCCCACTTCAGGCACAGATAAACTTTTCTTTCTTTCTTTTTTTTCTTCAAGTTTTAGAAATATGCAGATTTTCAAAAAAGTTTGACACGCACAGTGACGTTGCTTCTTTGCACACTGGATGACTCCTACCACACTTTAACTAAACAGTTTGAATTGCCAAAGTTTAACAATGCTTTTCTGTCTCCTTCCAGGCAACTCTACACACCCACTAACATCCTCCTGCTCTCTCTGGCTGTCTCAGATTTCCTTGTCGGCTTCCTGCTGATGCCGGGAGAAATCTACCTAAGAACAGGGTGCTGGTTTCTCGGTGACAATGTGTGTTCCCTCTATAATCACGTTTCCTTCATCATTACCTCCGCTTCAGTGGGAGACATGGTGCTCATATCAATCGACCGCTACGTGGCTATTTGTGACCCTCTGCATTATCCCACCAGAGTCACTGTGACAAAAGCCAAGCTGTGTGTTTTTCTGTGTTGGCTCTGCTCTGTTTTCTACAGCAGTGTCATTTTGCATGATGACCCGAGGCATCCAGACGAGCACAACTCCTGCTACGGAGAATGTGTGCTCGTCGTCAGCTACCTTGCAGGAGTCGCTGACCTTCTTTTCACCTTCATCGTTCCCATTTCTGTCATCGTAGTTCTGTATTTGAGGGTGTTTGTGGTGGCTGTGTCTCAGGCTCGTGCCAGGCGCTCTCATGTTACCGCCGTCACCCTCCAGCTTTCAGTGACTCTAACGACAAAAAAATCGGAGTTAAAAGCAGCCAGGACTCTGGGGGTTCTAATAGTCGTGTTTCTAATGTGTTTCTGCCCGTATTACAGTGTCTCTTTAGCTGCCGATGAGTCCCTCAGCAGCTCGTTGGCATCCTTTGCCGTCTATTTGTTTTATTTTAACTCCTGTCTGAACCCTGTGATCTACGCCCTGTTTTACCCCTGGTTTAGAAGAGCTGTTAAACTCATTGTCACTCTGCAGATACTGCAGCCTGGCTCCTGTGAGGCCAACATACTGTAGGAGTGACTGAAATGAAACCTGCTGTACAGAGATTCACCAAGTGTCTAATCATTCTCATGACTGTGTTTCTAACATGTTTCACAGCAACGTCTTACTCAACAGCTCATTTGCATCGTTTGCGGTGTATCTATGGTGTTTTATGTTCTGTCTAAGCCTTGTGATCTAGGTTGCTTTTTTTTTTTTTTGAATCCCTGGTGTACAAGAGCAGCAAAACTCGTCTTCACTCTGCAGATACTTGCGTCCTTTGAGGCCAAAAGTCTGTGGAGAAGACAATTAAATATACTCTACTAAGGTAGAGTAAGCTTGGTATATTTAATTTTCTTTTCCACAGACTTTTGTCTTCAAAGGACACGAGCTGCAGCATCTACAGAGTGAGAACGAGTAGATTCAGTATACAACAGATTTATGCGACCTCCGGGGATTTTTTGCAGATATTGCAGCCTGGCTCCTGTAAGGCCAACATACTGAAGATTGCAAAACCAGCCTGTTGCCTGTGCATGATCAGTTTCTCTTAAGATTTCTGTTCAAATAGTTCTAACCAGCCATTCATTTTAGCTCTCAAGAGTTTTATTTTGTGACTGTAGTCTGTATTTTCTACATACTGCTACTGCTCAGAGTCACCATAAGCACCATGAACCTCTTTAAGGCAAACCCAATGTTTCATGTAATCTGTATTATATATATATATAGACATATATTCACTAGTTGTTGTTTTTTTTTCTCTCTTTTCCCAAAAGCAGCTGCCAGGCTTTATGGCATTGAGGTGCTCTCTGCACAAGGTTGCTTTTGCTTCCATGCCTCAATCAAAATGTTGTTTGTCATGTCATTTTTTGTTTAAAATTATTTTTTTAAACAGTTTAAATAAAAGCTGTTTTCACATCATGCATATTAGCCAATAACCCTTCCATTCCTAGTTCATACCATTACTGAACAAATGCTATCTTTTATGCATACCTTCCATATATCATATGTAAACTGGATTTATGAAAATACAACATGTGTGTGTAAAGTTTTGCCATATCACATATAAGACGATTTAAAACGATTAAAGGGAGACGCTACAGGTGAATAGGGTAATATCTTTCACTGATAAACATCACCATGAAACCTCCACAGTTGATTACTTATGGTAGTTTGTTTGTGTAACAAGTTGACATAGTTCCTTTGTAAGAATCAAAGGTTTAACAGGGGGGATATGGATATCTTTTTAAAATGCTGTCGACAGCCAGGGGGAAAAAAAAAACAATCTAAATTTATCAAGTTTTAGGACTAAATTGTTTATTTATTGCTAAAGCTGAGTCATGCATCGGACTCAAAAAAGGCAGACAAGTTGTACAACAGCATCATGTTTTTGAGGAATAATAATGAGAGACACGACCGGTTTGCAGCAGAAAACAGATATCACAATGAACGTTCACTAACTGATCACTTGCAATGTTTTTTTGTTTGTTTGTTTGTTTTTGTTTAGAGCATAGAAAAGAAAAAAAAATGGCTTCTGAAGTGAAGACTTCTGGCTCAGGGTGTGACAAACAAAACATGAGAAAACAGCCTCCAAAGGTGTGTCTTACCATTAACATCTACAGATGCAAATACACAACATGTTAAATACTCCCCTAAATGTGTATTTTGACTGTTTGCTTTGCATTGGTCTGAAAATAGACACATTACTGAAGCAAAAATATTCAACATCCCTAAATTGACATTGAAAAATGCACAACTATGGTTCTGTAATTTAATCATACACCAAGTATATAACCCCCATAAAAGTAAAATCATTTTACTGGTGAAGGGAAATCAAAAGAAGCATTTTTGGGGTGAGATGATGTAATATTCTGACAGCACAGGTGTGTGTTAGGGGAGAAAAACAAAACAAAATAAAGGGTTGCTAATGTTAGATGTCTAATAAATTATGGACAATGTCATCTGATACAGTAACATACAGGTTAAGCATCAAGAAAAAAAAAAGGTTTATTAACTACCTAAAAGGCTAACTAGTTGGCTTTATATTCAGCTAATGTTACACTGCATTACCTTAGACCTCTCAATTGAAAATAAATCAATAGTCAAACCATTTCATATATATAATTTAATATTTATGTTGCAGTTATGTAGCCAGAGTAGCATGCATAATTTGAGAATATAGTTAATCTTAAGCGTAGGTAGCTGGTTTGTATTGGTCAAAGTAAATCATGAGATAAGATTACCCCCAGGGGCTTCTCCCCAGTGGTGGGTCAATCTTGAAAAGGGGTAAATTCCCCCAAGACCCAGTGTTACGATCCAGCCTCTAGGGTCAGCTGGACAAAAAACAGATGGAAATGGTTCAGGCAACGCAATTCATTGCTTGGTAACATAAATGAACACAACATAACTGTGACAATACAGAGGACAGTGGTGGATGTTGCTAAAAATCAAAGAACCAAACATAACCAAACGAAGGCTAGCAGAGTGTTTAAGCTAGCTCACGAAACCAAACCAAACTCCTTAGCCCAGGGGTGTCAAACTCTGGTCCTCGAGGGCCGCAATCCTGCATGTTTCAGATGTGTCCTTCTTCCAACACACCTGATTCAAATGCCCTGACTAAAAGGTTGCTGGTTGCGTTTATAGCCAGGTATGGTGGTGATTGTTGGGGTTTGGGGGAATGGTGGTCGTCCAATCAGACGTGACCGGAGGCGGGGCGAACAATGGCTGGAGTGCAGGTCTTCAGCTCCAGGCTAATTAACTGAGATGACTCGCAGCTGGTGTCATGGAGCAAGCTCTCAGCAAGCCACAACTGGGCCTACACAGGTCATTTCCACATACAATGGTCACAAGTCAACATTTCCGAAACGGCACAAACCCCATGGGCCGTAACACCCAGGGAAGAAATCCAGTGGACTTTTACATTCAGGTAAAAATATAATAACAAGTTGTAGTTTGTTCTGATTGAACTACCCTCTCAATTTGTTCACTCAAGCATACTTCTTGTGTAAATATGACAGAGAACAGACATTGCTCTTTTCCTGGTTGACCCTATCTTTTAACCATCTAGGTCTATATCACTTTGACCACTAGAAGTCTAATAGTATGAGTACTGTTGAAAAAAAAATTACCCATAGTTTTCATATGAAGTTTGCTGTAGTGGGATGTTTATTAGTCTTCCAGTGTACGGTGGGCTTGCCAACACAACGCATGAGTCTGTGAACGTAAGCCGAGCTAGAACATTTTCAGTGTTGCACGTTTTATAGGGTATGTTAGAGGGTAGGCAGGGCCTGTATGTAAATACCGTAGTGAATAGTGGTTAGTTAGAATACAGTTGCTAATTAATGACAGGACGTAAGACAACAATGAACAAAGGGTGGTGGAATCAAAGGGTCTGGTGACCATCAAAAGAAAAGAGAATGACTTTCTTCATCAGTACACAGAGGCTTCCTACCATTGGATGCATGATGCTCATCACCAGGAATCAACACAGGACTCACCCACCAGTAGCTGAGTCTGTCCTGACTTTAGACCACCAATGGTTAGTTTGTTGCTTTTCAACAATAAATCATTGTCAGTGCAATTTGACAATACCTAACAAAAAAGATTATTTTGTGTCAAAGTGAAAAACATCCATCCATCCATCATCTATACACCGCTTAATCCTCACTAGGATCATGGGGGGCTGGAGTCTATCCCAGCNTCCTGGAGGAACTCATTGACTGATTCCCTGCAGGTGTGTGAGCTACACACCTGCAATTCATTTGGGTCGTGGAGCTTTCACTATTCAATCTTTGCCTGAGTGTTGCCCTACATGGCGACTTCTAGCCAGCACCCAAGTATTTCTTCCAAGTTTCCTCCGAGCCTACCTTCGTGCCTCTTTCCGAGCTTCTGCTCGTGCCTCGTCTTCATTGAGGATTTTTTCCCTATGTTCCCGATCCACGTTTTGAGCTTCCCACCTGCATCGAATAATCTAATCTAATCTGTTTTAGTAATCTTCACTACTTTTGTTTTACCCTGTAGCACTTTGAGATTGTGAAAATATAAGGTGCAATATGAATAAAATTTATTACTATTATTATTATTATTGTTATTGTTTATTATTATTGGGTGCAGATGACATGCATCCGAGGGTGTGTGTGTGGTCCAGGGTCGTGAGCGTAGGTTTATGTGTTGCTGCTTGTTGTGATGATGTAGTCCAGGAGTGTGGTATGACCAGATGGATGGAATGGACAGCAGAGATGAAGAGTGGTAGACAAAGTCACGGCCAGAACTTCTGTGTACAGGGCAGCAGGTGCAGAGTATTCTGGCCTCTTTGAGGGTGTTCAGGCAGTCCAGGGGAAGGTAGTAGTTGAAGGCGCAGAGGAGTGGAGGAAATAGGGACGAGCACTCTGGAGCCAGGTGGAGGTTGGGCGTCTCGCCTGTTAGCCTGTTACACTTCGAGAAGCTTGTCCTGTGTTGGGAAATTCTTATGAAGATATTCAGAGTTAGAAGAGATTTCAGATCCCGTGCAGTTAAGTGCTTGTAATGCAGCCAGCCCTTGAGCAAGTCGGCGATTCCCTCGAGATGTGACTACAGCTCGGTGAAGATGACCCCGATCATTGATCTCCCTTGTTGCTTCCATGAGTTCCACTGCAGGACACCGTTGATTGACCCCTCATGGCCCTCATGGAAGCATCTACCTTTTGGATGCTGTCATACCAAAAAGTTATCAAGTTCAGCAACACTGTGCGAGAAAGTAAAAGGAGAAAGAGAGAGGTGGCATAGAGTGAAGGAGGAAGGACAACAGCGTCCTTCAGAGACTGAAAGAGAGGAGGGGAGTGATGGTAGAAAGAGATAAATCAGCTGTACGACACAAAGTTCTGGTCAGATGATGGAGATCCAGGACGGAGCAGAGCTCTGTTTTCCTGAACTCCTCAACTCCTCCTGCAGGAAGCCGACACCTCACCGGTTTGAAGCTGTGCTTCTGAACATTGTGCTGTCGTCCATATCTGTCCTCACTGT